AATCCTATGCTCAGGTGAATTCACCAGTATAGCTTTCTTATTTCCAACAGAAGAAGTGATGTTGTTTGATGAGTCCTGACATCTTGATAGCTTGAGATTGTATAAACCATCTTCAACTTTCCCTCTGAGAAGTGTTTGTCCTGATGCTAGGTCCTTCATAACACAATGATTTGGATTAAATTCAAAAAACACTTTATTATCCCTTGCAAACTTTGAACCACTTATAAGATTTTTCTTAATTGTTGGGACCTGCAAGAGGTTCTTTAAGAGGAAAGCATGGAAAGAGTCTGAAGGACTAACAATAGAATTGCCATAGTGAGAGATTACAAACCTGTGCCATTACCCATATGAACTCTCTCCGAGCCTTGATTTTTTGAGCCAAGGTTTAGGTTTTGAAATCATAGGTAATGTGGCTATTGGCTCATAAGTCCGGTACCAAATGTTTCTGAGGAAATATCACTGCTAGATCCTGCAATACTTGGTGTTGAGGTTTGATTCACAACAATCATGTTGGTGTTCATCTGGTTTTGACCAAAGCTATTGTTGTGTGGAGGAGTGTAGCTTAGATATGCTCTGTAGAAACATCTTTCTGCTGTGTGGTTGTTTCTGTGGCATATTTGACATCTTGGACCCCTACTTCTCCTTCCTCTACCTCTGCCATTGCCTCTCTTCCTCCTCTTCCAGAATTAGTCATGAAATCTGCTCCTCTTCCTTTGTTGTTAAATGGATTTCCCTTTTGGTTTGGCTCTTGGGTAGAGAAATTTATAGTGGAGATTGATCCTTCATTGTTCACTTGAACTTGTTCAAATCTTTCAAGTCTGGCTTCAAAGGAAAGCAACAAGGATGTCACCTCTGGTATGCTCACGGGATCAAGTCTAGATGAAATGGTAACAACAATAGGATTGTACTCAGGTCCTAGCGCAGCCATTATGTAAAGAACATGATCCTCTTGAGAAATGGGATATCGTGCTGCAGCTAACGAATCACAAACTCCTTTGAGCTTAGTCAAGTACTCTCTCATGGACTGTGCTCATTTTTTGCTATTTTAGAGTTGCTCTTTCAGCTGAAGGATCTTAGCTCTGGAATGACCAGAGAAATTAACTCGTATGGCATCCTAGATCTCGAGTGTTGTGTTGAGGCCCACAACGGTGATAAAGATCCCCTCAGACAGAGATGATAAGAGCCATGAGACCAAGAGCTGGTCTAGCTTAATCCATGTGAGGTACTTTGGGTCTAGACCTCTATCTTGTGTGACTAAGCTAGCTGGTGGCTTCTTGTCTCATGTGAGGTAACCTTCAAGGTCGTATCCTCTTACTGCCGCCAGAATTTGATGCCTCCATATAAGATAATTTCCTTCAGTGAGCTTGATGGTAATTAGTTGGCTTAAGGGTTGCAGGATTTGGTTTGGATTTGAGAAAATTTCAGATGTGGTGCTCATGATGGATTAAAGGAGGAAGAAACTAAAAAAAAAAAAATGGTGAAGAAGGCCGTAGATCAGGCTCCAGGGTTTATCTCTGGGCTGTGATACCATATAAGAAATGAAGAAGAAGAAGCATGAAGAAATCAAAATCTAAAGTAGATGCAAAATGTTTCACTATTTCATTGCCAAATTCGAAACATTCAATACAATGATAACTCTCCTCTCTTCAGCTTTTATATACTTAACACTAGGAAAGATATAGAATGGATTTTTACCCCACAAAGGGAATGTGCTATTCAATCCTTATCCAAATGAGGGAATAATACAAGGTAAATGATGGCTCCATGACATCACCAAAGGTGAAGCCTTGCATGGCAAGGTTCCAACGTCTTTTGTACCTGCATGGCCCCACTGTGTGTTTGGCTTAGAGTTAAGCTTGCTTAAATGGAGATTAGCTTGTACATTAGCTTGCACATTCGTATTAGCATTTCCAATAGTTTTCGACTCAATATTGGTTGTATTTTTCCAATGCAGCACATTCCAAAAAGTGTGTCTTTTAGACGCACAAGAACGCTAGTGATGTTTCTACATATCTATAAATACTCATTATTGGGGAAAATTTCAAAACTAGTCCCACAGGTTTTGGGAGGTGACATTTTTTGTCCAAACGAAATCCAGAAAATATTAAGTCCCGCAGCTTTTAAAAAATGATCAGAAGTAGGACTTTTTTTCAATTTTGCGACCCGGAAAGCTACATCGCACACACGTGGCGGGACTATTTAATATTTTCTGGATTCTGTTGGGACAAAAAATGTCACCTCCCAAAACCTGTGGGACTAGCTTTGATTTTTTCCCTTGGCATTGTACTCAGCCACGTCAGATGAATGTGGCCAGCGTGTAAAAAAAAAGAAGCCACTTGTGTGCGACGTGGCTTTCCAGGCCGAACAAATTAAAAAAATTCTTATTTTGATCATTTTTTAAAAGCTGCGGGACCATTAATATTTTATAGATTCCGTTAGGACAAAAAGTGTCACCCTCCTATACTTGTGGGACTAGTTTTGAATTTTTCCCCTCATTATTGTAATATCATCATATATTTACTTGAACTAGTTGTTACCCGTGCATTTGCACGGAAAACTGTATGATAAAAAATAAAATAATAAAAAATATAAACAATAGTAAAAATTATAACATAATCATTGAAAAAAAAAGTTTTAAGAAAGAAAATTCAAATATAATTAAACACTTCTTTATATACAACGTCCATAATTTTTCGAAGCCCAATCTGATTTCTTGATGTATCCCAATAAAAAAATTAGTAAGAGAATATTTTAAATACGCCACAACCCATTATTTTTCTTATAACTTAAGCTCAAACATTCACATCCCATTGTTTATTAACAAAGCCCAGACAAAATAGAACAATAAATTCTTTTTCGGGCCACAAATGGGTCAAATAAAGTTGATTTCGTTTGAATCCAAGTAGTATCAAGGCTGATGTTTTTTTTTTTATTGGGCCAAATTAAACATAATCCAAATGCATGGACCCATATAGCACGGTCAAAGCTTCATCCACCACACAAATGTAGAACATTCAACAAAGTGGTAGAGACAGGTATTTAATGCCTAAAACCCTACCACCTGCAACATTTTCATCGTTTTTTCTTCATTTTTAATCTTTTTTTATTTATCGGAGACAAATACTTGGATCGATTCTGATTTAGTTTAGCCGTTGTAGACATGCTTTTAATTTATACATGCCTTACATCATGAAAAACAAATTTCAGCCCATTAGTTACTTCTTTGTTTGTCGAAAATTTCTTTGACTAAAATCGAATCAATCGCAATATTGTAGTTTTTTTCTTGTTCTTAGCCAAGAAAATCATATTATCAAATTGCACTGCCATTTGGAACTCAAAAGAAATATGTTGTGTCGAAATAGTTTTTTCGGTGACTGTGATTATGAGTGTGGAATGCAAAGTGAAAATGTGTCTGATTTTTATTTTATTTATAAGCACCTACATAAGTCTATTAACTAATTAGTGTAAATAGCAACAAATCAAGAGCATGATTAGTTGAAAATATTTTGATAACTGGAAAAAATATGAACTATATAATAGTGGCGCATTTGATATGATTTTTGAAACTGGAATTTATGTTCCGCCAACTAAAGATTTTATTTTTAGAGTCAAAATTTATGTTTTTGTTTGTATTTATTAATTAGACATGTGCTTCTATCATATAAAAATTATTACGTTTTCTTAAGTTATTTTTATCATTCAAAATCAATTGATATTTAAATTGTATTTTAACCATGCAACGTTTATATTAGTAACATGAATAAAATAATTTATATATTTGTAGCATATATTAAGAAAACTAACATAAATAAAAAAAAATTATTGGTGTTTCCGATTTTTAGAAAAAAAAAATATATATGCCAATCATGCACAGATGTACATATAATTTTATAAGTAATATTTGAGAATTTAATATTAAAATTTTAGATAATGAACATATTACATTTTCAAAAATTTGATCATTAGAAAAATAAATAACAATTTTATTATTATGAAAAATTGTATATTACCATTTGATACTAACTGTTTAATTATTATTATTATTATTATTATTATTATTATTATTATTATTATTATCATTAAAACAATTGTTTATAAGATTCTAAAGTTGTCTGACTATGCTATTAAAATAATTTACTAATTATTTTTAAAGAAATTTTTTCATGAGATACAAAACAAAAAGATAATATTGATGTTAAAATAAATAACTTAAAACAATTGTTCTTAATTATGTAATTTATATTTATTGTGAATTATTATTAGTTGGTATTAGCAATAACTATTATATAATATAATAGAAAAATACATGATTATACTCATTATGATGTATTAATGTGAGAATAAAAAATATTAATGATAATTTTTGTAACCGAAAATAGAGGGAAAATGTTAGAGGTTTTATTAAATAGGTAAAATTAAATGTTATATGCTAGCAATTATATATATATAGATTTCCAGTAACTCTTTGCGTTGTTTTCACAAATTCAATACTTCATCTTGTGTTTTTTTTTTTTTTTT